TGCAATATGTTACGCTCAATTAGTGATTAACCAGAATCTGGGGCTGCGCTGCGCTGGGGATGGCTCGCGAAGCTCCGGCAGCGGCTGCGGTGGCTGCTGGAAGTAATCGCTGTTCCTCTCTTTTCAGACACTTTTCCCGAAATCTCCCTGAACAACGAGAAAAGCCTGCCAGAAACCAGCTATCCCAACCAAACGACGCGGCTGCCGCCGATAACCTACACGGGGCGCTTCTCCTTAGAGCCGGCCCCCAACAGCGGCAACACCTTATGGCCAGAGCCTCTCTTCAGCCTCGTCAGTGGGCTGGTGGGCATGGCTAATGCACCTCCCACCTCGACGCCTACTTCATCATCGCCATCCTCCTCCTCGCAGAGCTCCCCACTGAGCTGCTCAGTCCAAGCCAGCGAGAACAGTCCAATCTATTCAGCTGCACCAACGTTTCCCAATTCCAGCTCTGACATTTTCCCTGAATCGCAGACCCAGTCCTTCCCCAACCCCTCTGGAGCCCCCATCCAGTACCCACCTCCAGCTTATCCGACTGCTAAAACCAACTTTCAGGTGCCAATGATCCCGGATTACCTGTTCCCTCAGCAACAGGGAGAGCTCAGTCTTGTTCCGGCTGATCAGAAGCCCTTCCCAGCCCTGGAGACCAGAGCACAGCAGCCTTCCCTCACGCCACTGTCCACTATTAAGGCATTTGCTACTCAGACTGGTTCCCAGGAGTTGAAGACCCTCAACACTAACTATCAGTCCCAGCTGATCAAGCCCAGCAGGATGAGGAAATACCCAAACCGTCCCAGCAAGACCCCTCCTCACGAGCGACCCTACGCCTGCCCCGTGGAGTCCTGTGACCGGAGGTTTTCCCGATCCGATGAGCTGACGCGGCACATCCGCATCCACACGGGACAGAAACCTTTCCAGTGCCGCATCTGCATGCGGAACTTCAGCAGGAGCGACCACTTGACCACGCACATCCGCACACACACAGGGGAGAAGCCATTTGCCTGTGACATTTGTGGCAGAAAGTTTGCCAGGAGTGATGAGAGGAAGAGGCACACTAAAATCCACCTTAGGCAGAAGGACAAGAAAGTGGAAAAGGCAGCTCCAGTCTCAACTGCTTCCCCAATTCCTGCCTATTCATCCTCTGTGACTACATCCTACCCTTCCTCCATCACCACCACTTATCCCTCACCAGTGCGCACAGTGTATTCCTCTCCTGCTCCGTCTTCCTATCCGTCCCCTGCACACACCACATTCCCCTCCCCTTCTATAGCAACCACTTATCCCTCTGGCACTGCCACTTTTCAGACCCAAGTGGCCACCTCCTTCTCATCTCCAGGGGTCACCAATAATTTCAGCTCTCAGGTGACCTCAGCACTTTCAGACATGAACTCAGCCTTTTCTCCAAGGACAATTGAGATCTGCTGAGATGACCTTCTGGAACAGGAGAATTTACCTTTTCCATTGGTATTATCAGACATGGAGTCTCCAATTACTCCCCCAACACCATACGTTGCAAGGCTATTTAACTTTAGTTTAAACTTCAGCTGCCTGAAACAACTGCTGCTTAAGTTTTCCACCTCTGTTGAATGACTTAATTTGCATGGACTGTGGATATAAGTTCAATATAATTTTCCCCGTAAACAATAGTCTTTTATTAGGAAGAAAGGACTTTTGATTAAGTATCTAGCTGATGTAAATTGTACATGTGCCATGGTTTTGCTTTCCTTTAGGGTACTATTGATGTGGAAAAAAAAAATCTTTGCATATTCATATTGTATTATTTGGAGTTTGCAGGGCCATATTTTGTAAATGTTAATTCTATTTCAGTGACAATGCTGTAACGCGTTTCAAACTTCTTTGGGAACAGCACTTACTGTATTTGAGCATGTTAGAGTGATGCTGTGTAAATATCATCTGATGAGACACTCACATGTGGCAGAAGTTTTGTTTTAAAAGTTAAAAGTCTTGGTGCCTTTTCGTGAAGCCTTGCTGACGTCATGCATTTGTGTGAATGGATGCTTTGCATCTTGCCTTAAAAGTGAAAGGGATGTTACTCAAAGAATGTAAAGGGAAGCAGGGAATGGGTGGGGAGAGGAGCAGGAGAAAGGCCTGAGGGATGGAATGTAAGCAAAAAAAAAAAAAAATCCCACACCTCTCAAAGTCTATTTTTGTTACAAAAATGTAAATTTATATATATATTCAGGAGTTGGAATGTTGTAGTTACCTACTGAGTAGGCAGCAATTTTTGTATGTTATGAACATGCAGTTCATTATTTTGTGGTTTATTTTTACTTTATAATTGTGTTTGTTAAAATGAAAGTGACTGTTTGGCTTCTAAACACATTGAATGCGCTTTCCTGCCAATGGGATATTTGGTGTACAATACCCTTCAGAAAAAAATAAATAAAATATCAAGTCGTGCAGACTTCCACGTTTTCCTTTAAGTTACTACACAGGAAGACTGTGCCACAGCAATCCTGACTCCCTTAGTGGCTGCAAAGCCACAAATGCTGCTTGTCTCCTGAAAAAATACCTGTTTAAAGAAAGGAGATCAGTCTCATGTCCAGTCGCTTGCAAAGGCTTGGATGGAGCACCCGCATCCTTGCGTTAGGTGCATTACCTGCTCTTTGGAAGTAGCCATGATTACTGTTTTCTGGCTTCTCCAGAAGCATGTGAGCTAATCTTGGGAAGAAAACCGATTCTTCCAGTGCTGAAAGTTAAGTTAGAAAATTAGAATCTCAACTGTGTTTGTAGGTAGCCAGAAATCTTACTGGGTGGGAAGATAATAGAGCAGTTTTAAGGCTGGAAATACAATAAGCTCAGTCATAATGGCTGGTTGACAGAAGGTGGCCCTGCTCAGCTGAGGGCTGTCGTGAGTTCCTCTTTGACACAACACAGGGCATGTAAGTGTGTGGCCCTGTCAGACTTTATTACAGCTGTGTCAGTATTTGTAGGAGAAAACCCTTCCTTAGGGGATGGTTTGAAATACATTCCAGGGGTTATGTGGCCACTGCAGACTGAAGTCAGAGGAGTTTCATCCCTGAGAACTAGTGGTGCAGGCACAGAACAGGGTTCTGGTGTCTGTCCTTTCGGGTGGGCTCTCTACAGACCACTGGTGTTTAGGGTTGTGAGTCGCTGGGATACACGCTATTTCCACGGCCTTCATCCCATAGAAAGCGAGCAGATTCCCGGGCTGGGAAAGCACCGACTGCGCGTTTTCTGCGGGATCTCCCGCTGGCCGGTGGCCCGAAGACAAGGACACCCGATTCTTAAAAAGTTCTCTTCTAGTCCAGCTGGGAGGACGAGCCGGTTCCAAAGAGGCTGTTCCCAGGGAACCAGCAGGTGCTGCCACCGA